ACCTTCAGATGCTAAGTAACTAGAGAAGCAAGTCATTGTGTATCAGAGGCTCTCAGATAAAATTATCTCTCTGTATTCCCACACTCACCAACTCCAGTCATTTTACCTTACAGAATATCATCTAAATACTTAACTACAGGACTTACTTTGAAAAGGAAATGCCCCCTAGGGGAGTGCCCTGGAGCAATTCCATAGTTGAAGGTACGATAAAAGGGTGACAAAACAAGTGTAAGAGAGGATTTAGCTCAGTGGCATAAGCGCCTGACTTGCAAGTGTGCAGTCCTGAGTTCAATCCCCAGTACCAAAAAAAAGTATAAGATCTAAGATGACTGAAATCTTAAGGCTATATTATAATTACTTTTTAGCTACTTGCACACTTCTGAATATAAAATCCCGAGCAGCATATCCTAAGGGATTATTAAAATGTAAAAATACTGTCCAGAAGCCTTGCTGGCATGCCTGTAGTTCCAGCCACTTGAGCAGCTTGAGGGAGGATTGCTTAGGCCCATAAACCTGAAATTTGTGGAGTGAGGTGCTGGGGCTGCTTTCTGAGGGATTACTTGCATAGGGACTCCTCTCTACTGTATATTTCTGCATAGCAGATGTGACATAAAGTGAAAATTTTTCTGCTTAAATCTGAAACTAGACTGGGCAACACAGTAAATTTCATCTCAAAAACAAATTAAGTAATCCTAAAAGGGAAATATCCATGTTTTTTGTCTTCAAAAATTCATTTTTAAAAACCAGGTATGGAGCAGAGCGTGGCAGTAAATGTCTGTAATCCCAGCACTCAGGAAACTGATGCAGGATGATTGCTGTGAGTTTGAGGCCAACCTAGGCTACAAAGCCTAAACTGCATGGTGAAACTCTGTCACAAAAGACAAAAACAAACAAAAGCCAAGTATGGTGTCACATAAAACCTGTAAAACCAGCACTTTGGGAGGCAGAGGCAGGAAGATCACAAGTTCAGTCCTGCTTGGGCAATTTAGCAACTTGGCAAGATCCTGACTCGAAAAAAAAGGCTGGGGGTATAGTTTAGTGCAAAGGCCCTGGGTTCAATCACTAGCATGTATAAGCATTTTATAAACAATGCTGTATAATTTTTGAGTTGTTACTGCTATTTTGCTTATGGATTTATTTGAAACTGAAAATGTCCTTTTTTTTTTTTTCATTTTCTTTTTTGTCTTTTTCATTTTTATCGGTACCAGGGATCAAACTCATGACTGCCTGCTTGCAAGGCAGGCGCTTATGCCGCTGAGCTAAATCCCCAGCCCCTGAAAATGTCCTTTCAAGGACTTGGTGAGCCAATATTAAAACTCATTTTTTAGGGCTGGTGATATAGCTGAGCAGCAAAGAGCCTGCCTGGCAAGCATGAGGTCATGAGTTCAATTCCCAGTGCCATTTTTACGACAAAAACAAAAAACACCTCATTTTTTCAGGCTAGGGATATAAATTCAGTGGTAGAGCACTCACCTAGCATTCTTAAGGCCTTGGATGCAATCTTTAGTATTATCAAAAACACAAAAAGCCATTCTGTTCACATATTTACCAAATTTGAGTTTTTTGACTTTTGTTTTTGTTTTTTATTTTCTGAGACACCATCGCAGGTAGCCCATGCTGGCCTCCAACTCCAATTCGGCCTTGGCTTCCTGAGTGCAGGGATTACAGGCATGCATCACCATGCTCAGCTACCAAATACAATTCAAATCAACCTCAAGTTACCAAAAAACTACATCTCCTTAAATTAGCTAAAAAACCAAGCAGAGTAGGACTACCCTAACAGAGGTGGACAGTGAGCCAGAGCAGAAATGAAGACTTGTGCATACCCAACTGAATGGGGCATGAACACATCATTATTTTGACTTAAAAGGAAAATCAAAAGTCAAAGTTTTCCAATGGGGTCAAGAGAAAATGTTATGAATATCCAGGGTATAGGGACTGGGGATTTAGCTCAGCGGCATAAGCGCCTGCCTTGCAAGCAGGCAGTCATGAGTTTGATCCCTGGTACCGGTAAGACAAAAAAAAAAAAAAAAAAAGAATATCCAGGGTATAATCAAAATTAAACAATATATAACCAGTTCAGAAAGTTCAATAATCTTCAGCAATTTTCAAGTATTTATTAATCCTAATGGCATCCTAAGGATCAAAGAAATCTGGCATATTGCAGTTACTTATAACCACAAAAGAATGCAAACATATTAAGATGTACTATCTTAATAAAAATATTTCACCAAATACATCTACCATTTCATTTGCACTATTTGAGGTATAAAGTATCCTACTGACATGGCCTATTCTACACTGAGCAAGACATACAGCAACTTTATCCTTATAATATACAGCTATGAGTAAAGAAGTATTTCAGACAGCCAGGCCTAGTAGCCCTTGTCTATAAATCCCTCAGAGACTGAGACAAGAGGACCACAAACTCAAGGCCAGCCTGTGCATCTTAGCGAGACTGTCTCAAAAAAAAAAAAAAAAATTTAAAAGAGCTCAGGATATACCTCAGTGTGAAGGCCCTGCGTTCTATCCCTGGTGACGCAATACATACATAAGATGTAAACAAGATGATTTATTGAGAGCAACTTCTCGGCAGGGCCTGTGTGGTATCTCAGGGGTGAAAACAGAAAGAAGACCTGAACAAAGACAGGTAGCAAGTCACATGGTTGAAGAACAGCAGAGGCCACAAGGCCACAAGGCCAAGGAACACCTAAGTTCTACAGTTAGTTAATATCTGTAGCATTCTTCAAATATCCACTAACTAGGCTTCTCCCGGCATGACCTGCTGTCATCCCACCATGCCCACGAGATTTCCTGACTTTCAGGTTTGCTACCATCCCAGGCACCCAAACTTGAATCCAGAAACACACTATGCACATTACTCTCTTCTTACCCACTGGGTGACCAACTCATACTAGTAGGGTAATAACATGCTATCATCTTCAAAATGTTACATCTTCCTCTTTCCCTTCATCCCCACTAACACAGAAATTACAAACCAGAATCACAGAAATTACAGAACACAAGGACTGGAATGATCCTTAGATACTATTAGTGCAATTCCATCTTACTGAAGCCCATATTAATCAAGACTCCAAGGTATCAGGCCAAAGATCTATTACACCATATTTGAATGTTTTGTGTGCCCCTCACCAAGTCCAAGTCATCACATAAACGTTGCTTACACACTGTCTTAATGTTACTTATCTCCCTGCCTAAGTCACCTTTCACTGTCCTAAATATACACCACAACCCTCATGCTCCTTTTGTGATGTGCCTTTTCTTCTTTCTTACATAGCCAAACCTATTTTTCAAGTCCTTGTTTAAGAGCTTTCACTGATAGTGCCAGCCTTTACTGATTTCTTCTTTCTCAGGGAAACTTTGTAATACTTAGAAGTTTATCATACAAACTAGCACTTGCATATAATCTTTCTTTTCCCTATCTTGTCCACCTTGTAAAGCATCATAAATACTTTATCTCTATTCAAATACTTAGTAGGCTCTGTTCATTAGCTGTTTCATATTTAGCCAGACTAAAACTCCGAAAGTACAGAGATTATGGTCTTGTCTATGCAATAGGATCCTGTAGGTAACAACAGTTACCATATTGTTAGCCCTTACTACGTGTTATATATTATATACTGTACTAACATCATCACAATACTGTTCAGTTGATATTATATTTTCCCACATACAGAAGAAACAAAGGCATGAAGAGGTTATGCTGAAGTTGCATAATTTGGAAGACAGCACTGGAATTTAAGCTAAACTATTTCCCAAAGCTGGCACAAAATAGACTGCACACAAATATTTGCCTAGTCATCCTACATTTCAAGTGTGCAGATGGTCTTTTTCACCCCAAATAAACTAACAGGGTAGAAATCACACCAGGAGGCTGGTGGCTGGGTTGAAAGACAACTGCTCTTCCTGGTCAAGTATCCATCAGATGATAGGTTCAGGCACTCAGTCACAAGTATTTCATTTGCAACATTTCACTTCCTGTGAACACTAACTGTAAATTCTTTTCAACAAATAGCAATAGTAATTCTTCCATCAGATTCACCCAAAATGTCACTCACTCTCAATCAAACACAAATGCTCCCACATGCAATGAATACAACATCCTCTCTGCCTCTCAGCTCAAAGAAAAAGACAAAACCCTCTCAAGACAAAATCAGCTAGTAAGGTTAAATACCTCAGCTTCAGCCTGACCTTTAGAGCAGGCCATCCTGCTCTCCATTCTAACAGCATGATCTCATTTGTTAATGATATAACTTCCAAATAAAAGGCACTGTTAATCTGAAGCCACGTGGCCAATGGCAGATTCTGGACCACAACTGAGATCCCCTAACCGTTCTATTCCACTGCCCCAGCTGATACATTGCAGTGTATCATTCCACTTATCCTGATCTCGCTGGGTTAGGGTTAAAATTTATAGCAAAAGCCCTGGTATAATTTCCATTTCAAAAAGCATTTATTGGAGTTGGGAGTGGTGGCGCATGGTTGCAATTCCAGCATCATCGGGAGACTGAGGCAGGACGATCGCCACAGGTTTGAGGCCAACCTGGACTACACAGTGAATTCAAGGTCAGCATGAACCACATGGCCAGACACTGTCTCAAAACAAAGCAAGAAAAAAGGTATTTATTAGATACCTATTTGTCAACCATGTAGATTCAAACAACATCTCATCTCTTCCACTTATTCTCTATGTGACATGAAGAAAGTCGTTTCACCTCCTTAGAACCTTGAAAATGGGATAATAGTATCCACCACGCTGTAATGTGGTGAGAAGTTAATCAGATCAAGCGAAAAACACTCGGCACTGAGTCTAGTGTACCGTGGACCTCTGGTATATAACACCTAACCTAACCCCTGCCGCCTCCCCCAGCCTCGGGTTCACGCACTAAAGATCGCGCCCCTGACTGTCCACTCCTCCCCCCATCAAGTTACTAGCGGCTCTGGGGTTCCTAGGCCCGGGGCCAACCGCACTACCATACCTGCATGGAGTCGGCGCTGACGATCTCGCCGCCCAACCGCTGGCCTAGCTGCAACGCCAGGGTAGACTTGCCAGTGCCAGTAGCTCCTAGAATCACTACAAGAGGCAGCGTCCGTTTCAAGCCCCCAAACATAGGGTTCACAGGAACTGCTCGCGCAGCCGCTGCAGCCGCCATCTTGGAAATACTTGCGCATGCGCCCGAGCAGCTAGCCCCATGGCAACAGTCAGTGCGCCGGCGCGGACCTCGCGTTCTAAAGGGAGGATGCTGCGGGAGGAGTGAGCTACGGGACAATGGTCCCAAGCTTAGCAGGCTTGTTAATGTGGCTGCCATCATCTACCAGGTGTCAGATCCTGAGTTATTGGCTTCCTTACAAGGGAGATAAACCCCATGTAAAATAGATCTGTTCCTATATTTCTTTTTCTTCATAGCACTAATTAGAATATAAAATAGTATTTTGCCTCTTAATGTCTGACTTCTCCTAGATATTAGTTTCATGAAAACAAAGGACAAATTCTGCCTTAGTCATTGCTAAATTTCCAGTGCTGAGCACATACCTGGTACCACCGAACAGAGATACCCAATAATTTAATAGAGAGGAGATTTGCCTATTTAGCCCTGAAACTGTGAGCTCAGGGATGTGGCAGTCTCCCTGAATCAGATCTGCTCTAATCTTTTCATTCTCAGTGCAACTTCAGAGAGAATTAGGGGGCAGGACAAAATGTTCCATCCCCTTAACTAAAGGATGCAAGACATAGAGTGAAAACAGGAAAACAGCAAATAAACAACAACCCACCAAATTAGAAGAGGAAATGAAAGGAAGGCAGAAAAAATAGAGCAGTAATAGCTCTCAGATTAAAGTGAGAATGGGAAAAATAAAGACAAGAAGACCAGAATTCCTGAAATCTAAACTGTCATTTATCTGCTGTGTCACCTTCATTAATTTTTTTATATTAGAGCAGGGGATGTATTACAGGGGACTGAACCCAGGACCTCTAGGATTCTAAGCAAGTGCTCTACCACTGAGCTACACCTCCAGCCCTTAATTTACCTCTTATCTGCAGTGTCCTTATCATGGAATCCCTCTCCGGATTGCCCTAACAAGAAACTGAAATAATTTCTGAAAGGTGCTTGCTACCCTACCCTGCCTGGCCCATAACAACCACCATTTGTTGAACAGTTTCTATTATTATACTCTTAACATCCCATCTGCCTCTCCAAAGAGGTAGTAGCAGCAGCCTAAGGGCACAAAAATTTTCAGGAATGTGTAAAAATGTCTAAATAGCTGTGCTGTTAACCCCTTGTTAGCCAGCTGGGGCTGGGATGTAGTTCACTGGTGTATGTAGCATTTGTCTGGCATACACGAGGCCCTGGATTCTATCCCTAGCACTACAAAAAAGGAGGGGAAGATTCTAATTGCTTGCTTCCCAAGATTGGCTCCACTTAGCTCTCAGTTCATACTGGGATCTTGCATGTCAAAGAAGTGACCCCTAAAAATTAAGTCTATGACAGCTCTGCCTAGAATGACTACCAATATATTTCCCTATCATTTGAATCTCCTTTAGCATAATAAGCACTCTTGAAGACCCAGCATGAATCTTGTAACCGCACGTTTTGTTTAGAGAGCACCATTCCCAGTGCTGGGTCTCTGTTACCTCCCTTTCTCAAACCAGTCTTCTTTGATCAAAAGCCCTGTTCTCTCCAATTTGTGGTACCCGCCTGGGGCTGGATTTAAAATGGAGATGTGTTACCACATATTGGCAGACACTTTCACATGATGGTTGTTAACTGTAGAGCTTTTGCCTGGAGACTTTCAGAGGGTATGGTTACCATGACAACCACCAGAAAGATGGCAGGCCAGAGACATGATGGAGATAAAGAAAAAGAGAGGCTGATTTCATGATGACAGTCTGATGATGACACAGTATGCTCACTCATAGATGGGATAGCTCTGTCCAAGTCACGACCAGGTGACTGTTACTGGAGAGTGAAAAAAAGAGAGGGTAGAGTTTTACACCAAGAGACCAGAAAAAGAAGAGGCTAGTTACCAAGGCAACTAGAGAAAAAGGAATGAAAAAATAGGGCTTCACCACAGCAGCAGAAAATTGCTTCTAACCAAGCAACACAGGACTGTTGCTATAGAAACAAGGAGAACAGGGATCTTGTAGACCATGGGGAGAATTATCACTGAAATGCTGAGCAGGAAAGATTCCTAAATCAGAATGGAGCCTGTGGTTCAAAACAAACAAGAAGTGAGAAAAACAGCATCATTTCCATTCACTGCATTTCTACCAACCCTACCAAATGGAACTATATTTTTAAAAATACTTTAGGCTGTTTTATTTCTATTCTGCTTGTCTCTCAAGTGATCTGCTCAACCTTAAATTACAATAAAATAGTTCCAAAAAATGTTTTGTAACTTGAAATTCTAATCAAAGAAATTAAATTCAAGGGAAAACTCGGAAATTGAAATCTATGACCAGGCGTTAATAAGTATTTTTTTTAAAACAACAACAGCAGCAACATAAAATCCTCTAATCCTCTAATAGACTCTTAATGACATGAAGTTTTGCTGGGCAATAAGGAAACAAAAGAAGGCAAAAAGAGAGTCAGGAAAGCTATTTGGCCAGGGATTGGTCTTGATACTCCTCTCTTTTCTGTTAGTCCATATGATAGCTCACTCTATTTTGAAAGGAGGCTTAAGAGGATGGATGGGTAGATAAATAGATAGATAGATACATACCTACATACATACATACATAGATATTTCAAAGAAATTCTAGTTTAGGGAGGTTTTTTTGCTTGTTTTGGTTTTGGTTTTTTCCATGCAAAGATCAAACCCAAGGTACTAGGCATGGTGGTACCTGTAATCCCAGCACTCAGAGGAGGCTGAGGCAGGAAGATCCTTGCAAATTCGAAACTTTGTAGCTTAGGCTACAAAGTGAACTCAAGGCCACCTGAACTGCATAGTGAGACTGTGTCTCAAAAAGAGAAAAAAAAAAATCAACAAAGATCAAACCCAGGGCCTTACATGTGGTAGACAAGGACTCTACCACTGAACTAAATTTCCAGCCCAGAATTTCTAATTTTTTTTCTTGTTTGTTTTTGGTTTTTTGGTACTCACAAAAACTTGCAACCTCACACTTGCCAAGCAGTCACTTATGGCACTGAGCTAAATTCCCAGCCCCTGTTTTTGTTTTTTGGAAAGAAGGTCTCGTTTTGCAATGCAGGCTGGTCTTGAACTCGCAGTGATCTTCCTGCCTCAGCCTTCCAAGTACTGCTGCATGAATTTCTTTTTATATATATATATATAGTTTTGGGCATTTATTATCTTTTTTTTTGTCTTTTTCCTTTTTATCGGTACCAGGGATTGAACTCACAACTACCTGCTTGCAAGGCAGGCGCTTATGCCGCTGAGCTAAATCCCTAGCCCCCATGAATTTCTAATTTTAAAGGTAAAAATGCCAAAAATGGGTTCAGTCTGGAAGGGCATATCTAAAATGTGGAAATAGCTGAGTGTGGTGATGCTTGGCTGTAGGAATCACCATAAATTTGAGGCCAGCCTGAACTACATAATGAGACCCTGCCTCAAAAACAAAAACAGAAACAAATAAATAAATTGCTGAAATGAGGTACTAGAAATAGATTACTTGAAATGTAATAATTGCTTGCCTACCCTCTGAAATTCCACCTAATTTTCACCCTCTGTGTGTGTGTGGTACCCTAGGGATAGATATAGCCAGGCTATGTTTCTCCACACTCACCTTCTTCCCATTTCTCATCCCTGTACTGGGGATGAATCCAGAACCTCTGCACTGAACTACATTCTCATCGCTTTTTATTATTATTATTAATTTTTGAGACAGTGTCTCACTAAATTGCCAAGTTGCCCAGACTGGGCTCAAATTTACAATCCTCTTTAGTCAATCTCCAAGAATGCTAGTATTACAGGTGTGTGGCACCTGGCCCCTATATCCTTCCACTAACCCCCCAATTCCAAGGATTAAACCCAGGGCCTTCACACTGAGCTAAATCCCCAGCCTTTTAAAAATTTATTTTGAGACAGGATCTCTGTAAATCACTAAGTTGTCCAGGTAGCGTTGAACTTAAGATCTTCCTGCCTCAGCCTCCCAGAGTGCTGAGATTACAGGTGTATTCACCACACTAGCTATACTGACCTTCTAAGAAACAGAGAGCAAGCAATATCTGGGATGGACTACGGCAGAAAAGCAGAAAAAGAGGAGTGTAGGGAAGTGAGGAGGAAAATGTGGGTGATGACCCCAAGGAGTGTTTATTATTTCCTGTTCTCTGTATACTTTAAATACTTTATTTTTAGGGCAAGTAGGATGGTACATATTTGCATTCTCAGCTATTCAGGAGGCTGAGACAGGAGGATGGCAAGTTTGAGACCATCCTGGGCAACTTGGTGAGATCCTGTATCAAAATAAAATTTAATATATTTTTTTAAATTTTTTTTTTTGTCTTTTTCCTTTTTATTGGTACTGGGGATCGAACTCACGACTGCCTGCTTGCAAGGCAGGTGCTTATGCCGCTGAGCTAAATCCCCAGCCCCAAAATTTAATATATTTTAAAGACAGAAACAGCCAAGTGTGGTGGCACAGGCCTGTAATCCCAGCACTCAGGAGGCTGAGGCAGGAGGATCATTGCAAGTTCCAGACCAGTCTAGGCTACAAAGTGAGTTCAAGGACAACCTGAACTGCATAGTGAGACATTGTCTAAAACAAACAAACAAACAAACACAAAACCTGGAAGCATATAGGAAGAAAACAAAAGGCAAAGCCAATAAAATGGAAGGATATTCAGAGCAGATCACCCAGAAGGCTCAAACATTTAAAGAAGGAATTCTAGAGGCTGCTGTGGCATTCAGGGCAGAAAGAACATGCCACCCAGAGACATGATGTATATATCTCCTAGAGAGAGAGAGAAAGTTGGGTCACAAACACTAGTATTGGAGCTGGGGACTTAGCTCAGTGGCACAAGTGCCTGCCTGGCAAGCATGAGGTTGTGAGTTTGATCCCCAGTACCCCAAAAAAAACAAAATAAAAAACCCACTAGTATTGTTGGTACAGCCCATGATGCTCTTGCAGCCCAAGCCTCATGTTAATTAGTATCCCCAGTGAAAAACATATTTCTTGTAGGAAGTATTTTGTGTTTAACTTGGTGCCTATATATGATACCTTGGCTTCA